GTGAACCTATTTTATGTCAGGACATGGTACTCGAATGTTAGTTAATTTAATGAGGATGATATGATATATTATCATAATGCATCATAATAGCATGAGAAAGATATAATTAACATTTCGTATTACCACCACAAATGAACTATAAGTTTGGATATTATTCTCATCCAGCAACATTTAACAATTCTACCATAAAAATACAAATGAAATGATGTAACCAGCTCCAAGACATAAACCACACAACACAGCATTAGTTCTGAAGCAGAAGGCACTCAAAGACACGTGAAAAAGGGGCGTGGAATTCATGTCGAACAATCTTTATCCTCCATAAATGTCTTCACGTGGAAAAGGAGCCACAACGCAAACGACAGAAGAGTGAAAGTGTCCCCACCTCCTTCAAGTGCTGCTCCGTGTTGAAGCCTCCGGTCGCGTACTTGATGAAGTGGGGCTTCGCCTTCCCGTAGCTGCGATTCAAAACAGAATTGTCTTTTGCGTTTCATTTGCACATGAATTTCAAAGCGAGGCTGATTCGCATATATGATTGAGAAGCTTCTGTATAATTACGATTATCTCAATGACTGTACAGTATGCCTAGACTTCCTTTTTATTCCTCACGTAAGTTGAAACGCTAATAGCCTGGATTAATAAGGCTTATCACTCAAACAAGTATCTCCACAAAGATACATAAATGTTGAAATGAGAGTGAAAAATACTCACAAGTCGTAAATCTTGTCCCATTCATTCTGAAGATAGTTCCAGGCGAGAGGCCGACCGACCACGTTCTTGGCGACGGCCCCGAACACGCGATATGCATCTTGCTTCCTTATGCCGGAGTCTGGGGTGAAGGCCATTTCGAGGTACCTGTTATGGATACGTGTGTAGGTAAATAGAGGACGATGGAAATTTAAGATAAATTATTGATGAATGAATAGATAGTTAGATATAATGAGTGTGTTATATTTATCTCTCTTTTAGTTTTTTAGTTTTTTTTTAGTTGTTTTAATGAGATGGCAATATTGTATCATCAAACAGGATGTGTTAACTTATTGTTTGCCGTAACGAGCAAAGATTTAAAGAAAAGAGAAAAGAAAAAATCATGGAAGATATCGTGTGACAATCAGGAAACTTTTGGTAACTTCTTTTTCTTTCTTTAATAATCTCTTCTGATTAAAGACATGGGACAGATAACAAACATATCTTTTTTTACAGTTAGTAAAGTTTTTCAATGCCTGCAACATAAAGAATGTGTGCAACAGAACGTGGAAAAACACTTTCCCGGACAATATAATTTCAAATCTCACAAAAAAAAGAAAAAAAAGAAAGAAAGACAAAGATGATATCCTTAAAGCATGACTCGCAAATATTAGTCATTTGGACCATAAAAACAAAGAGAGAGAGAGAGAGAGAGAGAGAGAGAGAGAGAGAGAGAGAGAGAGAGAGAGAGAGAGAGAGAGAGAGAGAATGAGAGAGAGAGAGAGAGAGAGAAAAAGAGAAAGATAGAGAGAGAGAGATAAAGGAGACAGACAAAAGGAGAGAGGCAGAGACAGTGAGAAATAAGTAAAAAAAAGGGATCTTCTCGTACCTGGACAAGATCCAGATTTCATTGGTGCATCCCAGAGCCGAAAGGAGCCTGGATTTTTCGGCCCCGACGTTGGACTTGAGATATTTATGCCAAGCGAAGTTCCACTCGGCTTCCCCGCCCTCGGCGATGGCGCGGCAGTAAACCGTCGACTTGAGGTTTGGCGAAATGATGCTGGAATTCAGATTTTTTTATATAAATGTTTTGATACAACAGATGATTGGGTGTGCGTGTATTACTGCATAAAGACACACGCATACGCATATACAGTGTTGATTTTTATTCAGAAGTGTGTGATATATATACATATATAGATAGATAGATAGATAGATAGATAGATAGATATATAGATATATATATATATATAGATAGATAGATATATAAATATATGTCTATATCAAATATAAATATATATCTATATACATATATATATATATATATATATATATATATATATATATATATATATATATATATATATATATATATATATATATATATATATATATATATATATATATATATATATATATATATATATATATATATATATATATATACATATATATATGTGTGTGTGTGTGTGTGCGGATGTATGTATGTATGTATACATATATATATATATATATATATATATATATATATATATATATATATATATATATACATATACATATATATATATTTGTGTGTGTGTTCGTGTGTGTGTATGCGTATGTATGTATGTATGTATATATATACACATATATATGTATGTGTGTGTGTGTGTGTGTGTGTGTGTGTGTGTGTGTGTGTGTGTGTGTGTGTGTGGTTGTGGATGTCTGTGTATGTTATGGCAACATCAAATGTTACAGAAAAATGTCCCTCATCCATAAAAGGAGAAGCGGTAACAAATGGGTGCTGTTGTTGTTCATATTGTTATTTTGT